TAGGGTATCAATAAAGAGCATGAATTATGATGAAGTGCAAGAAGTACATTTATATTTCCCAAATAATATTGATGAAGTTTAAAGTTACATAAATACACATAAAGAACTTCTAAGGGTAGAATGCAATCAATTGAGAATGACTGAAAAAAGGTTCTTGAAAGAGCACAATAACACTTTTGTAGATTTGTTCAAATAAAAAGTCTTAAATGGAGATAATATTTTTGAAACTATGAAATGATTAGTAAAAGGTCCTAACTTAGATGTGATATGCTGGTGTGCATATGATATTAAGAGGTATTCCTTTTATACAAAATCTCTTGATTAGAAGAGTACTGTGCAAAATAGTAAAGTTATGATAGTGGTCAAAACTGTGCACTTCTCAAGTAAGAAAGATAAATTCAAATTAGCATCTATGCCTTATTTTGGGATTATTGAATAGATTTAAGAGGTTGACTATACAAAATTTAGAGTGTCTATTTTCAAATGCAAGTGGATTGACATCAATAGTGTTTAAGAGGATAAGTTAGGATTTACATTGATTAATCTTAAAAGACTAACTTTTTGGGAGGAGCCATTTAGTGTAGCAGACTAAGCAAAACATGTTTTCTATGTCACTGATCTGGCTAACAAAAGTTAATCAATAACTCTCGAAGGAAAAAGGGTGATTGATAGTAATGACAAGAATGAAATGGGCTTTGATATTTTTGAAACTCTTACATTCTTATCAAGACTACCCAATTTGAATATAGATAAGTTAGATTATGAACATGCCACACGAAGTGATTACCATGAAGGGATATAGGAGAATATCCCTATATGAATTTAATTTTGACATTAATGTTAGTTTTTGAATTTTGAATTTTGTTTTATTTACAATTTTTTGTGTTTTATTTATTTTTATATTGTTTGAATTATGTCTTATTTACAATTCTTTATGTTATTTTTAGGAATATAGAGAAAAATCAGAGTCGACCTACTAACAATGCTCAAAGTTAGCCCAATCAAAGCCAACCTACTATAAAGGTTACTCTGAGCCAACCTATTATAGGGATTACTCAGAGCCAGTCAAATACAGAAATTGCTCATAATGGTGATAGTGATCCTAGTCAAAGCCAGTCAATTAAGAGGGGTAGACAAGGCACACGACTAAGAAAGCTAACTTTGAGTAGGACTACTAGTTGTACATTACCAATCCATTTTGATTGGCAGTGGAAACCATATGGGCCAAATAAGGCCAAGTTTGTCAGCTACCTTGGGCTTCTATCACATAACAAGCCTAACATCTTGTTTAAAGATTGGCTTGATGTGTCAGAATGTGTAAAGGAACAGATTTGGGAAAGCATTCAGGTATATCATTGTAAAGTTATTAATATTTGTGATTATTATGTGTAAAAGACTAACTATTATTAATTATAGCTCACCTATAATGTTCCTAATGATCAACCATGTCGGAGACAGGTACTAAAATATTATGGAGAATGTTAAAGATGTTTCAAGACTGACCTTATGAGAAAATTCATCCATGTCAAGTTGAAAGAAGGTCATCCTCTTCTTGATCCTCTTGAGACATACCAATTTCTTGATGAACAATCTTGGCAAGAATTTTATAAGATTCAAACTTCTAAAAAAGCTATGGTTAATTGATTTTTATTTGTGATTTAATTTTAGTAATTTAATTCAATTGATTGTATTAATTTGTTAATTTCTTATTAATTAATAGGAGAAAAGAGCAAAAGGCAAGAAATTACTCAGAGTTATGATTGAGTTGACGATATCTTAATGGATGAGAAGTTGAAGAAGAGAGTAGAAGAAGCTAAATCTGATTCTTCTAACCTTTTATCCCCACATCGCCTATCTCTCATAAGGATAAATGTAAGTATGGGCATCAATGCAGGACAAAAGGGTATATAAGCGAGAAGGCATGTGAGATTGTCGAAAGGATTGTAAGTAACATTTAATTATTTAATTTTTTATTCAATTATTCATTGTTTTATTATGATTTTTGTTTTGTTTGTTATAGGAGGCTCTTAAGGAATAGCAATCTCAAGGATCCTTGCTCTAGAGGTTAGAAATGACATCTTCACAGTTGCTAAAGGCAAACCAGAGAGGAGTTGGAAACTGTAAAAAAAATATATAAGGAAACAAGCAATGAAGGATGTTAAAGCTTCATTTGAAGCTCACTTGGAAGCTTGATTGGAAGCTTGGCTTGCAAAAATGAAAAAAAAGAGATGTTGACCTTTATGATCTTACTACAAGAGACAACTGCAAAAGAACCTCATACACAATTTCTTGGATTTCACAGCACAAAAAGGAGTAAAGTTCCTATACACATGCCAGAAGGTCTTTAATGGGAAACACTAGTCAACTATGTGAGCTATATCTAAAGGATCCTAATAGATGCTTGGTTGCTCTTGGCAGCATTCACACTTTAGGACAAACTGTCCACCATAAGGTAATGCAACAAGATCAAATGAGAGTGGTGGTAAAAGATGTAAAAGTAATGGAGGCACTCATCCCATTCCCTATTGATAAGGTCAATGCCATGTCCGAAGTTGTTGGCACTTTTATAATGTGGCCCAAGAGACTTGTGAGTATGGTTCAAGTTACGATATATTTTATTAAATATTTTATGCATTTTATTAAATATTTCTTTCTTATCATGAACTCAAGGATCTTATATGGATCAAGCCAAAGGTAAGTGAAACTAACACTTTATTAACTTATTCAATCATTAAGATTATTACTGATTGCTTATATATATGTTTTTAGATAGAGTTGTAAGCAACCACAGAAGACTAGTTTGTGCAGCTTATATGTGATAAGGCACATGCTCAACATCATCAAATCAGGAATGACTTAATTCACAAATGAGGTAAATATATTTTTGAAAAGCTAATTCTATTGTTATTTGAATTAGTTAGTTAATGTCTTAATTGCAATTTTATATTTTAATTTGTATGTTTGACATTGCGGATCCATTCTTTGAGGAAGAGGTTGACGACATTCTTACATGATAGGCACAATATTTTGCAAATGGTATGTGAAGTTTAAGTAGTTTTTTAGGAAATTGTATAGATCATTTGAGTTTTATGTAATTTTCTATCAAATTTTGTATTGAAATTTAAATTATTTACATGTACTGAAACTAGTTGGTTGACAATAAATTGTATAGAACCTTTTCATTTGAAGAAATTAGGAAAATAAGTAGAAACAGAATTAATTTTTTAAAAAAAACCCACTTTTAACAAAGGTTAGGACAATAACCACTATTAAAAGTCCACTTTTAACAACTGTTATTGCTATACCTACTATTAAAAGTAGGACTTTTAAAAGTAGTTATTATGATACCTATTATTAAAAGTCACCCTTTTTTCCAAACATTTAAAGCATAGGACTTTCGACAGCAATCCAAGACTACTGTTAAAAGTCACATACTATTAACATCCTCTGAAACAATAGCAGTTTTGTAATCATTGTTAAAAGTATTTTTTCTCCATTGTTAAAAGCTTATCTTGTAATAGTGATTTCTTGATGATCATACAACTTTGTTAAAGTCTCAAGTCATAGCATGGTTGATGCCTCCCTTTTTAATTGAGGATGAATGTCAAGTTCTTGTTAGTTAGAGAATTGTTTCTTTCATGTGACCCTGTGGGTAATACATACACAACTCTTCCCACTCATCAAGAACATCCACCGAAGTCTCATTTGTAATACTTGCCCTAAGTGTTATCCAAAAATCACCCAATTCAAATAAACTAAGTGTGATTAAGGAGTTGATCCTAAAACCAACTTAAGAAAGAAATCATTTAAATCAATAAACAAATAAACCATCACAAAATAAACATTTAAAGCTTTTAAAAAAATTTATAGGTTCTACCTATAGCGCACGGAAGCAAACTAGACTAAAGTAGAATAAAAAGATGCTGTCATGACAGCTCTCCCGGGCTAACTTTCAGGAGGCACCGTTCAACCATTTGACTTCTGATCGAAGTGATTTTAAAGTTCACATGTCATTTTTAATGATTACTAGTAGTACACCAAATTTCAAAAAGATCTAACGATCGGATTAAAAATTAGACATATTATAAGTTTAGTCACTTTTGCTGTCATAACAGCATCTTCGGACTAACTTCCAGGGTGCACTATTTCATCATCTGACCTTAGATCAGAGTGATTCCAAAGCTTACATGTCAGTTTTAAAAAGTATTATTAGCATACCAAATTTTGCAAATATCCAACAGATGGATTGAATTTCTTGCATGTTGCAACATGATTACTGCTGCTGTCATGACAACACTTTTTCTATCATGACAGTTCCTCCGGACCAAATTTCAGAGTGTGCCATTTTTCTGTCCGGTATTAGATCAATATGATTCCAAAGCCTACACAAAGGTTGTAAAAATTTTTACTTGTGACCCAAATTTTAGAGAAATCTAACTATCGGATTAAGATTTGGACACCCGAATGCAAAAGTATAATTTTTTAGTAAAAACCATTTTCAAAATTGTCCAAATCTCATCCTAATGGTCACAAACCTGTGGAAACACTTTGGACATGTCAAATAGGACTAAAAACACAAGATAGAACATTTAAATGCTAGAAAAAAGCCTTTATCAAAATTTGACCACCTAGGGGCTGTTTCCCAAAATGGACCCTAAGTCCTCAAAATTCACAAATCACACAAGAGTGGTCAAAAACCATTCTAAATATCATATACACATATGAATACACAAGTTAAATATTTTTACTTAGCTCATAGATCTCTGTAAAGCCCACGCACCCACTCTCTCTATCCAAAGTGTATGCCTATAGCACACCATTTACAATGCAACCACTTTGCATTTACTTATATAATCACATACATATCAAAATAAATATCTGCTTGTAGTAGAAACTTGGTCTACTAAATAAATACATCAAAACCACAGACCATAACCAAGTTTTCTAATCATAAGTTCACAAGCAGATAAAAATTCATATAAAGGCATACAATCCACACATATTCACATGCATATATATAATCATATCCTATTGGCACCCTAATCCTAAATACATTACAATGTACTTGCTCAAAAGAAAGGGGTTGCAGTTCTTTACAAATCACAAGCAAACCCTTAGCTTAGCTCTTTTCCCCATCCACCAATGGATCCTTTGCCTGGACCTGTAAATATTGTAAAAAAAGGGGTGAGACAACCACAATCTCAATAACAAAGAAATCAATATTCCTTATTACAAGGAAAGCCATCATCAAGTAAATAAATAATAGATTCAAAATAACATATAATTAATCAATTAAAATGCTTGAATGAATGAGATAGGCCGATATAGCTTTTCTTGACCAATAAAATGCCCCTTGGCACTCTTTAGCTTATAAGTAAACCTTGTACCCACTGTACCTCTACAGGCGTAACATATAAACTAAGGCATGATCTGATCTACCGAACTGCCTGTGCCTATTCAATGTGAATCCTGAGCAGTCAAAACTAACTCCCTCCCAGAGTCAGTCCGACTTACTCTCCATGTGAGGGCTACCTTGGCCTAGGCACTCAACGTCACACTTCATATGCTGGATTCCCTCTCCCACTTTAGTGTACTGAGCCCATAATACGAAAGGCAATACTGAGTATTGATAGTGAGCCATAGAATATCACAAGACCACATCTCTCCATTGGTGAACTTCTACTGAGATCATGCCTCCTACCCTTTTTATACCTTTCTCGAGTATTGACCACTTCAAGACTCAAGGTAGTATAACACTCATAATTCATCCCTTAAGTGGTTTCTTAGCCTATCTAAGGTACCAAACCTAGTTGCACTTCCCTAAGTGCAACTCCTCATTTTTTATGATCACAATGTATGCTAATATTCTTATTTCCATAAATAACATCATTATTAAATAGATAGTAAATATAGTTGCATTATTATTAAAGCAATATCCCATAAACCCTTCTAAAATATATTTTATTGGAATTCAATTATTTAAAATATGTAATGCATGCTAGATGATATTATCTACTCAAAAATAGCTAAACAAAGCAATAAGAAATATAAATTCTCCTGTTACCTTAACCTTTTGAAACCAAAAGGGTTCCTCTTGTATAAAATAGGACTTGACTTATTCCTTAACTTCCGAACAAATTCCACCAATAATTCCCTACAATATATAAGTGATCCACATCACAATCATGACAAATAGCATTAATGAAGACTATAACTCATACCACACAAATTGAGTCAATGAGCCATAATCCATCCCAATGGTCTATATATTAACCAATCATTCACATAATACTACTTAACCACTAAAACCATTTATTAGCCATCACTAGGCTAATTTTCAATTCATATAATTTTTAATCAATTAAAAATCTTCACTTAGTGTCACCAACTTTCACCATTAGCCCTTATAATGAAAACCAAACATTAATTTAAATCTTATTGGGCTCAAATAACATGATTATAACTAAATCAACAGGCTTTAACCATTAAAGAGCAAAACCCAATCCCTTGGAGTTTAATTTGTGCCCAAATCACCTCTTTTCATCTAATTATCCACTCAAAACATTATATCACTGTATAGAAATTCAAAACATCTTCCCTATGATCCAAAGAAACCAAAGCTTATAAAAATAAAGCCTTTTAGATCAAATTTCAAAAATTTCCTCTTACAAAAATTAAAGAAAATCAAGTGGAAAGGAAGAAGATTAAAGTAGGAAGTTTATCTATCATGTAGCAGAGCTCACAACGGTCGTAAAGCCTCCTAGATCTAAACCTAACTCCCTCTCTTTCTCCTCTCTTCTTCCTTTCTCTCTCTCCCTCTTGTGCATTTTTTTTTCTTTCCTTTTCCCTTTGTCCTATTTCATTTCTGCATCCAGTTTGCTTTTAAAACTACTGATCTAACACTTTGAAAAAAATTACAAGAAAGGGCCCAACATTTTTTAATATAACACAAAAGCCTGAGTCAACTTTGGTAATTTTTTCCATAGTTAAAAATCAAATAAAACCAAACTTTTGCTAAGAAAGTTTCAAACTTTGGACCTCTATCAAATTATTCTTAATTTTAATTTAATTATAGATATTTTATTTTATTTTTAAAATAAATCTAAGTCTTAAAATTTTCGAGATGTTACACCATTCAAAAATGAAGAGTCATCCTTGTTTGAAATTTTCCTTTGCAAACATATGGATCGCATATAAATATGCATAACTTTACCTCTTTTTGTAAAATATATAATGCTTTTCAAATTATGTACAACAATAACAAGAAAATAAGATAAATAAACCAAGTTAAACTCACCTTTTAGTATTTTATTGATTTGATAAGATTGTGTCGTCTTCCTCAACATTGAAGGTTGCTTAAAAGTCATGCAAACCATTTCTAATTTGTTTGCAAAAATGATTCTGCTCATATTCTGCAATGTATATTGAAATATTATGATTGAATTTTTGTATATATAGTTGAAGGCAAGAGGAGAAAAACATGAGGCATACTCTGCAATAAAGACATAGTGGTCTTAAAAAAAAATTGTTAACAAAATTATGCCAATTATGTGTACTATGCTTTTGGGTTTATGAAATTTGAGGGCAAAGTTTTTTCAGTTCTATGTGCTATGCTGCTGAGTTTATGAAATCCATGGGCAAAATGTTTTCAATGATGTGTTGTGCTGTTGAGTTATGGTATTACAAATAAAACCATGATTTTCTTTTAAAACCATATGCAAAACCACTTTTAGTTAAGCTAAAAGATACACTATTTCAAAACAAGTTAAAAGTGACATATGATTAATTCCCCATACATATATATGAGAAATTAATTAGTTCACAAAAATATGAGAAATTAATTACCATAATGATTATTATAATAGATTTTATATTTGCAGTATAAATTATTACAAAAAAATATTAAAAAGTCAATAATTCTTGTATATATAGTTGAAGGCAAGAGGAGAAAAACATGAGGCATACTCTGCAATAAAGACATAGTGGTCTTAAAAAAATTATTAACAAAATTATGCCGATTATGTGTATTGTACTTCTGGGTTTATGAAATTTGTGGCAAAAGTTTTTTTAGTTCTATGTGCTGCGCTGCTGAGTTTATGAAATCCATAGGCAAAATGTTTTCAATTATGTGTTGTGCTGTTGAGTTATGGCATTACAAATAAAATCATGATTTTCTTTTAAAACCATATGCAAAACCACTTTCAGTTAAGCTAAAAGATACACTGTTTCAAAACAAGTTAAAAGTGACATATGATTAATTTCCTGTACATATATATGAGAAATTAATTAGTTCACAAAAATATGAGAAATTAATTACCATAATGATTATTATAATAGATTTTATATTTGCAGTATAAATTGTTACAAAAAAATTTAAAAAGTCAATAATTCTGTAAAAAAAAATATCTACAAACTAAAGTAATATTGTAATCATAGCATTTTTTTATGAAAATATATAATTACTAGAATATGAGATATTAAATATAATTCCATGTAAAACATATTTTTTAATTATTTGTAGATTGATCTATGAGACAAGAATCACATGCCTTTAATTTTGTGCACTGAATGAATGAATGAACTTAAGCATTTTAAGAAAAAAAAATTAGTATTTTTATATTAAATACTCCTTCAAAAGTGCACTGAGAGGAAAGGTAATATTAAAATTGATACATTTAATAAAACCTTAATTTATTCAAAGTATTTTATATTTTAAGATAAAAAAACTCCTTCAAAAATGCCCTATAATTTGAAATGGAGGTAGTATTAAATAAAGGAAATAGCATGTATAGTTTCTAATTTAATTTATCATTGAAGGCATCGCTCAAATGTTGGAATAACTTGCCTATACCGTAATTAAATAGTAGTCGTTGCTTATATGAGATATACCCTAACACACATTCCTATATCACACAATATATATAATTCACGACAACAAATAATTTATTGAAGTTTATCTTTTTGGAATGTTGATCCTGTAAAGTTTTGTTATTGAAAATTCTTTTAATTGTTGCTATTTGTTATAAAAAAGAATTGCACACAGGTTTCGCTTATGTAACAATATGATATCAATATTATTGTTGAGTATGATATTTAATTTTATAGAGGGAGTGCAAAAGGAACTTTTTTTCTGGAATTACATAATGAACTATTTCAAAATAGTCTTAAATCCATAAATACATTAGGTCATGTTAATTTTTGTTGGTAATTAAAGTTATTATCATAATTCCATTTATTATTTTTAGCTCAACATGTATGTCTATAAACTAATATGTTGTTACACTAAGAACCTATATTTATTAATATGCATAATTTTTCGGTAAACATTTATTAATATCTATCTATAACAAAATATAATATAAAATTTATAAGCCACACAATTAATAAGTTATAAATTATATGAATTAATTCTTGATTCTATAAGTGCATGAATCCCACATCTGATTCAAGTAGCTAGATAAATGGTGAAAAGTCAAGGAATTTAGTACGTTACATAAAGTTTGCTGGTTGCATCATAACTTTATTTGAAATTGCATGGAAAGGTTTGTGTTAAAATTTGTGATGATAATTTATTCAAAATTTTAGGAAAAGCATAATTTTGGGTTCTTGCATTTTTTTCTTTCAATGTTCTAGGTCTCTACATTTTTATTTTTCAATGTTCTTGATTCATCCATGAGGGGTGCTATTGTAACCCTCCCCTATATCCACTTGATATAGGAGAAAATTAATTAAATCATCACTCTAATATACCAAACAATAATCAAATACTTTATTTAAAAAGCTTAAGCTCAAGACTCATTTTATAAAATCATTGAAATCACAACACATTTGAGCAATATGCAGCGGAACACATTATATACATTCATAACAAACATTTCATGCCTTTTAAACAAATAAGTCAGTTTAGAATATGGACAATGCGCTATGGTGTACAATACCTGTGCTGGAGCATATGGTATAAAGCCACATGCCTGACCTTCTATGTGTTATGCGCCGTGTGATATGCCATGAGCCGTGGCACATAAGTCCAAATTTGCTGCTATCATTTGACAGCAAAATGACAAATTTCCAACGTAGGTTGTTTCCTCATATGACGTCTGATCGGAGTGATTTAAGCGCCTATATGAAGCTTATCTCATAAGCTAACTAATGAGATAGGTTTGAACATGATCTAATGATCCGATCAAAATTTGGATACCCAGATGTGAAAAGTCACTTTTTAAAAAAATTTCATGCACCCAAGCGCTCAAGTTGATATATTTATCTCATTAGACTACACAAGGCCTTGAACCAAATCCAAAAGGACTTAACACACCTAATTAACTAAATTATAACACATATATGCCCATATATCAAAAATTGGCTACTCAAAGGCCTATTTCCATAAAATATAAAATTGCATAACTTGGCACAATTTGGCCCACTTGGCCCTTTCTCCCCGCATATCACCATAATTTCACTACTTTACACATTCACAACTCAATCTTAGCCCCAATTACTCATTTCATCACATATTCTCACATATGCACTAAGATTTAGAAAAATCACTACATTTTCTAGAAAAACACAACTCAAATATGCATGCAATCCCTATGACAACTTATTTACATAATTTTCACTAAAGATTCAGTTCATTACACAAACTTAAAGGTTTCACACGATCTCAGAACCACTATGCCGGTCTAGACTCTTTTCCCTTAGCTTGATCACTGCTCTATCTTGTAAAAATGAACCATAGGGGGAGATAAAAATCTCAATAACAGAATAACTCACTACTAACAACTATCACATGCAACTATATGAAAACATAGCTTATTATACAATTAAACATAACATATAATACCAATTTACTTCAAATTTCATTTATATAATCCACTTTGCTTCTTTCACCACTTTTCTATACACTGTATGATCACTACCGATCGAACCTCCAAATCATCCCAATTTGAAGCCATGGGCTCGCCTTAGACTAATATATACTCTCATTGGCCTTAAGCTCACATTTAATGGTAAAATCACTCGGCCAAAGGTGTTCTATCACACATCTGGACTATGATTTCCCCCAATGCACATAATGGAGTGTTATTGACTCCAACACCATATCACATAGACACTAAAGGGTCTAGATCTCCAACACTATACCTCAAAAGGCACTAAGGAAATAATCTCCAACACCACACCTCGAAAGGTACTAAGGAGATATAATTCTCCAACACCACACCCCGTTGAGCATTAAGAAGAATATACCATATGGTCTTATCACCACACTCTACACGGGTGAACTCTTACCCCTATAATCATACTTTTTAAACCAATCATAGCTTCCACATTCACACCATACACGTTTTCCAATACATAGCATATATGTAAATATATACATAACATATGAAATCACATGTTCTAACCCTTTCAATTTGATCAAAAGCCATTTCATACAGCATTCATAAAATGCCACAAAATAATGCTTAGTTCAAAATCATTTCATGTATTAGATAGCATACTAGCACATAATTACAATAAATAGTCTAACAGAGGAAGTTATTTGGTTACCTCAACCCTCCTGTCACTAGAAAGGTTACTCATGAATTTTAACTACAACTATAGCTCGTCACAAGCTTCCTTTTTCAACTCACACATGGAATATGTCAATCTGCACACAATTTAGTCAATTGGTCCAATTGACCAAAAACACTTAACTATTACTTATGGCTATATTTAGCTATCTATTCTTTTCCATTCATTCATTTTAAGTCCATTATTACTCGATTACCACTTTACATCACCTCAATTAGTCTTATTTTACTCAAACATGATTTTCATCTTAATTTCCTCTTAGTTTAGGGCTAAATTGAGCCTACAAGTTCAAAACTCTATCGTTCAACTCTAAACACAATCGCTAAGCTCTAATTTAACTCTCAAGAATCTTTTTATTTCTATTGAGAAAAATTAAACCTCTTAAATTTCACTAATTCAATTTCTCTATAACTCATACTCAGAGAAAATTTGAGTAGAATGGACGGTAAGGGTTATAGATAGCTTACTCGATAAGTTAGTAATCAAAAGTACCTTCCACTACTCTAAAATCTCTTGCCCTAGCAGCCAAGCCCTTCTCCTCTTCTCCCTTTCGTGTGTTTTAATTTTTCTCTTTTAAACTTTACCCTAATTTCATGACTTATTATGCCATTTTCTAGTCCATGCATTATGGTGCATGCAACTTATGCCATGACTAGTAGCACAGTGAGGAGAATCCTCATTATGCACACTTGCTTCAATCCAAAATGCAATCTTTCCAGGAGCCATGCCTCGCCAGAACACTTTAATTAATTAAATGGTCTTGTTTCTCAATTGTTTCTCTCTCACATCTATAATCTGATTTGGCTCAGCCTTATAGGTTAAATTCTCTTGGAGCTC